AACCATGTTGATAACAGTTCTGGGCATATTGCGGCTTAATTATTCTTATTTTAATATTGACTACAATTTGTGACTCTCACTTTGAGAGTGAGGTTAGACTGGAACATAAAAAAGTAGTGTTGTAGAACAATGCTTGCCTAGTTGCATTTACTTTGCTAGGTTGGAAGTCACAAGAATTAGAGCTACAACACTTTCCCCCACAAATAGGAAACACATGATCAAGCCTGGGCAGGAAATGCCTGCATGTGTCAAAGGTATCTCCAAGAAATGCTTTTTAAAACATATCTGTGGCCAAGACATTGCTGCCAAGCTGGGAACTGGGGAGATGGCCGAGACTGACCCTAAGAATGTGCAGGATCTCACCTCGGTGGTGCATTCACTCCTGCAACAGATGCAAGATAAATTTCAGACCATGTCTGACCAGATCATTGGAAGAATTGATGACATGAGTAGTCTCATCGATGACCTGGAGAAAAACATCATGGACCTCATAACACAGGCTAGGGTGGAAGAACTGGAGGGTGAAAACAAGATTCCTGCCACACAGAAGAGTTAAAGGTTGCTACTAATTTATACTGAAATCTGGAACACCATTTGTCCAAGCCAAGAGAAGACCAAATGGCTTTTTGCAGCTAACTACTATGTGTAGACAGATTTCCTATTCTAAAGTGTGCATTCTTTGCACATACAATGCAGTTAGTTTATAGAGTGATTGACCCCCAGTTTCTTGAACGTGGTAGCTTCACATCTTGGACCTTGGTCAGTTGTACTAACATTAAACACTAAAATTTTGGCAGTTCCTAGAAAAAAAAAATGTGTGAATCGATATCCCATTTTATTATTTATTTATTTGATTTTTTTTTTTTTTTTTTTGAGTTGGGTCTCAACTCTATTTCCCAGGCTGGAATGCAGTGGCACTAACATGGCTCACTGCCGTCTCAACTTCCTGGGCTCAGGCAATCCTTTCATCTCAGCCCCCCAAATAGCTGGGACTACAGGCATGTGCCACCATGCCCAGCTAATTTTTTAATTTTTTGCAGAGATGAGGTCACACTGGGGTTACCTGAGCTGGTCTCAGACTCCTGATCTCAAACAATCTTCCTGTCTCACTCCTGGGATTACAGATGTTAGCCACTGTGTCTGGCCATCTCATATTCTTGATTACACATTTTATATTTCTGTACTTTTCCAGGTAATCGTATTTGAAACTGGCCAAATCGTCGAGCATGTTTACTTCCTCAAAAAAATGAGTACTGTCCTGTGAGGCTTCTTGGGAAAAGCTACCCACCTTCTCTTTCCAGTCTCTGGCCACAAGTGTGTTTTTTATGGCATATAGAATAGTGAAAACAATTAGTTTTGGCACATAAGACCTGGGTTTGAATCCCAGCTTTGCCATTACTGTGGGCAAATTACTTAAACCCTCTGAGGCCCAGTTCTTCAATTGTAAATTTAAAATGATGTCTACTTGGAGACTGGGGGTTAGGATACTGTTCCTAACCCATCTATTAAAATGCCTAGAAAATAGTAGGTAGCTGGATTAGATACTTGTTTGAACTTCCATTGTCCTTTGGGCATGTTTCTTGGCTATGTTGTAATTGCTATGTTGTAATTGCTAATTGTCCTATATAAAAAACACTTTTTATGCATCCTCCCACAGTAATAACCCTTGCAGGGGCGACATGAGAAAGAAGAAAGATGAAGTAAAATCCTAGAGGGAAGCCATGCTGGAAACCATACTGGGTTGTCAATATGGGAATGCTTATTTAGTGGGATTCTCTATCCAGTTCCCGTTAAGAACTTTCCAGGGATCTGGAGAGAGGAGAACATCTTGGAGTCACAAACCTACTTTGGAATGTAGCAGTTAGAATAGAACTAGTGTTATTGTGCAGTGTGGAAAGACTTCCTCATGTCATGCAGAGAAAAGAAGGTGGCTGCAATTCTGGTTGGCAGGACTGAGGGATTCTGCTGCAAGAGGAGCTCTGTGAACCTGGAGGTGAGGGCTATTATAGGGCAGCTGAGGGCAGACTGCAGGGTTGGGTAACCAGTGAAAGCTGTGGTGACCTTTAGGATGCTGCAGCACAGAGAGAGCCAAAGTAGGGTCCTGGTCACAAAGAGCCAGTACAAGAACTCTCACATGCAGAGTCTAGCCCCCTATTCTGATACAACATCAACCCAATAAGCTCCATAAAACCCAGATGCCATCTTGCCAAGTAGAGGGCTTGCAGAGAACTACACTTGACAGGGAGTTACACTTGAGTTGATTGATTATTTAGATCAAATAATGCTGTTGAAACCAGAAGAGATGGAGATAACTTTAACTGGCAAATTTGAAGTTCTTCCCACTCCACCCCCCAACCCATTAACTAGTGTGAAAGAAACTGTAAAACGTTGACTCCTTACACAAAAATAAAGATTGCTGCCTTTTTACTTTTTGCTTTTGAGGTGTAGTATGAAATCCAGCCTCTTGCTATATTTATTTTCCTCTTCTTCCCATTCCTCCATCCTAGACTATGTACTCTTTGAAGACAGAGTCTATATCTTTCAATTATGTATTCTTGTTTTCTAGCACAAATAGGAGCCACACATGCTGTATTTATAACTTTAAACTTTCTAGCAGCCACATTAAAAACTCAAAAGAAACAGATAAAATTAATTTTAATAATATATTTTGTTTAATCAAAGATAACCAAAAATTATCATTATAACATGGTCTCAATATAAAATTATTGAGATACATAAATTCTTTTTTTTTTTTTTTTTGCACTAAGTCTTTAAAATCTGGTATGTTTTTTATATTTACAGTCCATCTCGCTTTGAACTAGCCACCTTTCAAGTGTTCAATAGCCACATGTAGCTGGTGCATATTTTACAGGACAGCCTAGGTCTCACATGGACCCTGCCACAGAGGTAAAAAGTAAATGTTCAACACATGAATTTATAATAGTAAATTTTATCATTATAATATCTTCTCATCTTTTTTTTTCTTTCAAAGTAGGGCAGTACAACAAATTATACTTGACCTTTGATGTATAGCATCTACAGTATTTGATCAATAATATCAATAATACTTGGCATTAAATTTAGAAACTATAATAAAACATTTTAACATGTCTTAAAATGTACTTTCAAGTGTGACATTGGCTTTACTGTGCTTGTGTCAAATCATGACTCAAAAAACTTGAAGTTCCTTGTATAATAAATATACGTATATTTTGTCCTCAATTGCATGAACCATAGCTAACATTTGTGTAGCCTGGTACAACCTATTATATTTCATAGAATCCTAGAGCCTGAGCCTAGAGCCTGATTCAATTTTCAGTTGAGATGTTCTGTATCTAATTACTAATTCATTTTGTTGTCCATTGTTCAGCTTCCCAATAATCAATAATCATGCTCACTTTGCTTAATTGAAGATTAATTTCACCAAGAAGACAGACTGTGCCTTGTGGAAATTTCCAGTTGTGTAAAATAGTCATTCTCATAACCATCTGGCTAATCATTTCCTGTGTGTACTCTCAGAGTTGGAATTATTTGCTATTCCTTTCTCAGGGTAAAACTTTTTCTTTCTTGTTTGTCCTTACTACCTTTCAACACATTTCAATATGCCACGAATTTTAATCTCCCACCCCAAAATTACTGTTGATCACAATCAGGTTATGTGTCTATTTATCAGTTACTCTACATAGGTATGAAATGACATTGATTTTGGAACAGAATGAATGTCATGGACAATATTAGGGAGTGATATCCATGACAGTGGTCCTCTTCCTCCAAGTAACTCATGCCACCACTTCACAGTAGTTCCATTTCCAACGTATTCTGCCACCTTTTTGCTGAGAATGTCTCTTACTAGGTTAGCATCTAAAGTGGATAAAAAATTTCACATAACAGTAGTTGTGTGAAGCACAGAATTATCAATGACCCCTCCTTATCAACAGCATTCCTGGTAATGAAAGTGAGATGGGGAGACAAACAACTCTGAACCTCACATATGGTCCCTCACCAAAGCTAAGTATTATGGCTTCTCTATCTGACTAGAAGACCAGAGGCAGAGTTTATGTAAGACGATACTGCTGTCTTTTGGATTCCCCCTCTAGCTTGAATTGCTCCTTTCTATTTTCGGGGGAGCTAGGCAGTCCTTATCCTACGGATTAGCTATGATGACAATTATGGGGCCCCTTCTTTCAACAACCTTTTATTTGGCACCGACCAATACCAAGCTCAGAAGACACAGTGGGGAAGAGGCCAGTTGGAGTCCCTTCTTCAGTGCCTGGCCTAGCAAAAGTCCTTGAATTCAGGATCAATTTTCCTTCTTGGACAAGTTTCTGCAGTCTCCTATGCCTAATCCTTGAGTTATCTTGTTTTACCTTTAGTTAAGAAGAACCGTGTCAATAGCAGGTATTTTTTGTTGTTGTTATTGTTTTTCAAAGTCAGGGTAGTTTTAAATTAAAGTGACAATATTGGGTATTTACAAAACAGGTTTATAGGATATTTACAAATTTAAAAATTCTGGGCGAAGCATTCTGCTTCAACTTGTAATTTTGCTAGAAAACCTTACGATTGAATTCAAATCAAGTCCAGTATTTCAGAAATCTTTCAGATGAAGCCTAGCTCTGGTTGCCAGGCAACGTGACAGACTCCCCAGCAGGGACCAGCTCGCCTCCCACACTTGACCATCTCTCCAGTGGTGGGACGCGGAGTCCCCATTGGCCCCCATCGCCTCTCACTTAGCTCCAATTGGTCTGAGAACCTCTCACTCCGCTCCCGTTGGCTCTCGCCGTCTCTCGCCTCTCCGACATTGGCAGGCGGACTCTCGTGCCACCCTACGTCATTCTCTCACACCACTTCCTCGGTCCTCCGACTTTGTCCCCGCCTCTTCCCCCGCCCTTCCAGCCACGAGGGAAAACCCTGAGCCGTCACCGCCTCTGCTTTCCTTCCGATTGGTGGAAGCTGGACTGGGGGGCGGGCACTACCGGGCTATTCTGCCGGTTACGATTGGCTGCTGGGGCCGCCGTCCCGCCTCCCGCCGCCTGCCGGCGGTGCCGGAGTCGGGTGGGTTGGCGGCTATAAAGCTGGCGGCTGAGGGGAGGTGCCGCGTACAGACCTTCCGCGGCTTGCTCCTCGTGCTCCCACACCGCTCGGTCACGTTTGGGTGAGTGTCCTGCGTGTGGGAGGAGGACTGGGTTGCTCGGGCGCCGCGAGCGGGTTGTGGGCCGGGCGGAGGTGATGTCCTTGACTAGGCCCGAAGGAGCTTGGGCTCCGGGTCGGGGTGGAGGCGTGGACCTGGCCAGGAGGATGGGCGCAGTGAGCGGGGGCGATGCAGGGGCCTCCAGTGCCAGGGACCCGGGGCTGACCGTGGCGAGTCCGAGGAGGGGGTCGAGGACGCTGGTGTGAGGAGAGAAAGCGAAAGGGCTTTGAGGGCTGGTTGTTCTAATGGGAGTTGGAGGTGCCCGGGCAGTGGCTGTGACCGCCAGGAGGGGATAGGGAATTGGGGGCGTCAGGTGGGGAGGAAGAAGAGAGCTGGGCTGCCGGGGCGTTCCCAGAGCCCTAGGTTAAGGGTGCACACCGAAGGATGGGGAAGATCTTTGATGGAGGCTGGTGGGTTGACAGGGGGTGTGTCCTCCTGTTGCCACATATAGAGGTGATGGAAGGAAGGGAAGTGGGCAGCATTACTTTTCTTCCCTAGCTCAGGAGGGAGAACGCGCCACAACCGTGGTTCAGACCTGGCTGAGTGCTGGGGCTCTGGACAGCTTTGATCTGTGCCTGCTTCAGATCTCACAGATCCCTGCCTCCCACGTTCCTGCCTCCATATATGCATATGCCTTTAAAAACATAGGTTTCCTCGGTGTTCTGAAATTCCGCACCTCCTCCCTGATAGTAGCTTCAGGACCAGCCTGAGGTGATACAATGGACTGGCACCCACAGAGCCCTCGCACAAATAGGTTTTGGGTTAAGCCAAGGAGATTTCAAAATAAGTATGTGAAGTCTTTGAAAACCTGCGTCCGGCTTTTATCAGGGGTAGAGAAAGGATTCTTCTGACACTCTGGCCGAGGGATTTGAGGAATGTTAACGTGAGGCTGTCCCTGCTTGGCGGGCTTGCCCCTGTGGCCTTGGCCTTAAGGCATCACTGGCTTCCTTCATTGCTCACCTCTGCCGCAGCCCCACCTTCCTACAGATGCTGTTGCCAACCTGTTGCAGTAAAATGAAGCGTTTTGGTCGCTGTAGACATTTGCTCTATTTCAGGGATGACTCCCGAAAAACAGGGGCAAGATAAACAACAAAATTAAGACAAATAAAGTGTTCCTGTAGTTAACAGATTTTTCCTTTTGATACTGGGTTTTGGACATTTATTGCACAGATTCTGTTCGATGGAGGGCAGATTAAAAGTCCTTAACATATGTCTGTGTCTTTGGTTCTTTGCAGCTTGAGACATCTCAGCAGTTTGTGTTCTTTAATCAAAAATGTCATTTAAAAATCTTAGTTATTTTTGTGTGGAGAAGGAGGGCAGGGATAGCATATCCTACAGGAAGAAGGAAAGACTTTCATTGTATCTACCTTTGTAGATATTTCTCTCCTAACTTTGTGAGTTTACCCTTTATTCAATTCTAGTTTAGTTCAGCTAAATTCTAGTCAGTAACCCCAGTTTTTAGGTTTGTCCAATGCTGGGGGGAAGGGGGTGTAAAAGGATATTTCACGTTTAGAGCCATAGGTCATGCCATTTGGCCTTTGCTTTTAATTTTGTTTTTCTTCTTAAGTATGCCTCTGGATTGCTTTCACATCTTGTTTCTTTTAACTTTGGGACTGATTTTGAGATTCCTGACTTAGATTTTAGATAGCTTTTCTCAGAAGAAATGCCAAACCCCAGATATTGTTGTAATGTGGGTTTCCTGAGTCTTCTAGAATGATTTAAAACCCAGTGGGATCTTTCATAGTCCTGTGGAAATGGAGATGGGGAGATGTAGTTGGAGGAGCTTGATGGACTATGTATCAGAATCTCTAGTTAGTTTTGTTTAGAAAAGAATATAGTTTTGTAATTTTGTGCTGGGTTACTACAAAGCCAGGTTTAATAGAAGAGTGTGATATTTTTATGTTTCTCAAGAAGGTGGTATTGATTTAAAGGGTTGGGAAATATATAACCTAATCTAATGAGAGAGTGCTAGGACTAGATTCTTAATCTGGTCTTCCTAATGCTTGGCATATGTTGATGCTCACGTTATGTCTGTCAACTGAGTGTAGTTAGAGCAGTAGAGAAGAAGCTAATGTTTCAAAGCTCGCAGTCTTCATTTTTGCAGGGTTTGTGGTTGTGTGTGGGTGCATATGGGAATGATTATAAGGCTAACAAATATTCTCTTCTGATTCCATTTAGGCCACTTACATTTTTCAGGTCAGGATCTGGAAACAACTGAAATCTACCATTTTCTTTAAACAATTTTAAACAATAGAGAGCCAGTTTCCTTAAACTCTCGGACACCATTTGGTGCTGCAGCTCACCTCAAAAGTGATAGCAAAAAGAACTTACTAGTGAGGGCTGCTGCAAGTACTTGAAACTAAAATATTTGTCCTCTAATTGTTATAACTCTAAATTCAACCACTCAAATAATGGCAATTAAGTGCCCTTTACTCCAAGATCTCAAAGGGTTTTCAAAGGAGTAGAAATACAGCCCCTCTCCTAAGAGGAATCTAGAAGTCCAGTATGGATAAGAAGACTGCCCAAAACTAGTTTTCCATAGAGAGCGGACTATGAAGACTTGGGTGTGAGTGATATACCTGTGAAGGAGTACAGATATTGGAAAACTAATTTTTCTGTGTGATTTGTCTAGGAAACCTTCCAGGAAAAGGTAGCTTAGAGCAGGGTCTTGAAGTATGAATAGAATCTCTGATGGGTAGACTGTAACCTTGAGAGGGGTAAGGATGCCCATGTTCTTTAAACAATTTCAAACAATAGAGAGCCAGTTTTACTTGGAGAACTACACCAGTGTGCAGGTATGGGCAAGTCTTTCTTAACTGTAGTTTTGCTTGCATGCTCCTAAGGAGAAAAGGTTGCCAACTCATTCTTAATTTCCTGGATTTCTTTAATGTAACAGTGAAAAAGATTGGAAGATAACTCCTTATAGTTCATGGTGTACCAAAATGTGTACTGCATGAACTTCTCTGACCCCTTGTTTTAATCAAAACTAAGGAGGGAGCCAGAAGGAGGAATTCAAATCCAACACTGAGTAGACCCCAGAAGAAACTGCCATTGTCTGAATCGGATTGACCTTAGGCAGTCTCATCATTCTTGGGTTTTAGTCTTTCCCAAACTCAAAATGCCTATATTACATTTTAGGAGTCTCCAAACATGCTTTGCGGTAACCTGCCCCGCTACATGCAGTTCATTAACTGCTTCCTGACCCACGTTGCTTCACTCTTACCACTCACTCTGAAAAGACCTGTCTGAAATAAGCTCATGGCCAGGTGTGGTGGCCCATGCCTCCGTAGTTCTAGCTACTCTGAAGGCTGAGGTGAAGGATCACTTGAACGCAGGATTTGGAGGTTACAGTGAGCTATGATCACACCACTGCAGTCCATCTTAGGCTACAGAGTGAGTCCCCCCCGTCCTCCCTTTTAAAAAAAAAAAGATGGAAAGAAATACCTTATGACCTGCTTAAGACCTTGGCAATACTGGCTTGCTCAGAATAGAGAATCCTGCCAAGCGTGGCGGTGTACACCTGTAATTACAGCTACTTGGAAGGCTGAGGCGGAAGGATTGCCTGAGCCCCCAGGTCGAGACTGGTAGCTGTGACCATGCCACTGCATTCCAACCTGGTTGACAGAGTGAGACTTCAACTAAAAAGAAAAAGAAAAAATAATAGAGAATCCTCCCAGGAACTGCAGAAGAGAACAAGGAGCCTAAACTCTCTCTGATTGGTTTTTCCGTAAAGTACCGTTTACTGCCTCCAATTCCTATCCTGGTCTCCAAGTCTCTCTTTTTCCTGAAAGTTTCTTTCACAGGTGATCATATAGACTCTGATCATGTTATCCTTAAGCAGCACAGCAGTGTTCTCTTAATCTTCTGTTTCTTTGCTCTGTGTTCTGTCTTTTTTGCTCTCTCACCTCTCAAAATAGAAAAAGATAATATTGGCAGTTCGGGGGAAATTTCCTTGAAACAGATAGTGTCAAATGCATATACATACATGATTTTACAAAGAAATATTAGTAAGTTAAATTAGTCTCAACATGTAGAGGGAATTAAGTTTTTTACCTACCAGTGAGAACGGGCCCCCTGTGGTCTGCTTAATTTACAGAGGACAAAGTCACAATTTGAGATGATAAAGAACAAAAGATTCATTATTTTCTTGAAGTATATATATAATGCTGTTATGAAAAAGACTTTTGGAACACTCAAATTTATTTTTTGTGGTGGGAGAGTAAACTTAATGAAGTAAAAGGAACTAAGGCTGTGAAGAGCTCTTAAATTATCTAATCATGTAAAAGAGGTAAAGTTTATTAAGTCGCATCTGATGTAATATCTAGTTAATTGAGCAAAGGCGAATGTTAAATTTGCCAATAATTAAATAACGAAGGAAATTATGTGTGTATTAAACATAGAAACTATTGTCTCAACTAACAGTCAGTCCTTCAAAACAGATGAATTGAAGAAAATATTCCAAAGTTACCTTCCCAAGGGCTTGCTATGTTGCCCAGGGCTTGCTATGTTGCCCAAAGTTACCCTCCCAAGGGCTTGCTATGTTGCCCAGGCTTGCTATGTTGTCCAAAGTGCTGGAATCATAGGCGTAAGCCACTATACCCAGCTCCACTTAATTTAAGTGGTAATAAAGTTTGATGCTCCTTTGTCTAAATACTTAATATTTAAACACAAATCAAACACTAAGGGGGAAAATCACTTTCTAAAAGGTTGAGGAGGTTGTGAAGGTGCAGTGCTGAAAAATATTTGCATTAGATTATATAAATGAAAATGATTAGATGTTGCTAGAAAGATATCTTTATTTTGTTTGAAAAATACAAATAAAAACTCGGATAGTAGTCAATATATTGGTGCTTTATATTGCAAAGCATTTTTCACATATTTTATCATCACAACAATCCTTCACTATGAGCTGAGGAGGCAAGTGTATTAGCTTCATTTTACAGATGTGTCAATTGAGACTCAAA